ATTTTTTTTATATCACAAATTCGTTTTTAAAGTTTAACTCGTTACAAGTATTTTTAATACTTTCAATTAAACACATTTTCAATTTCAAAATATTCTCAATTGTTTTTATATTTGATGCTGGATTTTATTTTTTTTGCCTTATCATTTACCATTGTGTATGTAAATAAATTATGAAAAAGTAATTCGGAAAAATATTTGTTTTAAGTGCCACATAAATTTGTAAGAGACTTTTTGAATTAGAATTAATTGCATCAATGAGGATAACTTAAAATATTATTCGAATAATACCAAAAAAAGACTAGTATAATAATTACCAATGAATACAGGTAAAACAGAATATATTAGTTAATATTTAAAAATTAATAATACTTAGCAAATTATTAATACTTAGCTAATATTTTAAAAAAAATCTCAAAACAGAGAAAACAATTATGCTTGATTTTTTCTCTCCCTAAAATTTGTAATACTTACAATAAGTATTTTCCCGAGTTCCAATGTCAAACAACAGTTTAAGAAATAACTAAAAAGTTTTCTTTAGTCTAGAATTTTTTTAGTACAATTTTTAAAACAAAATATTTAAAACAACGTGATTTTAGAAATTTTTTAATGTTTATTTTAACAATTTTCTTTCTTAAAATATTACATAATTTTTAAAAAACAAATTCTCGAGTATATTTCGATGATATGAGACTAGAAATATAAATAATTTTTTCTTGGAATATTGAGAACAGGAAAATTAAGGAAATAAATAATAAAGAAAAGGTTTCTTAATTATGCATCTAAATTTATCAGCAACTTTAAAACAATTAATTCAAAAACAATTTTATTAAAAAAGTTTTCTTTCTTTATATTCCGGTCTTTTTATTATGCTCTTATATGGAATCCAACTCAGAAGACAAGGGTGCCAAGTCATGAGAACTTTGTTAGAACTTTTGGGAGTTAGAACTTTTAGTTATACATTTCCATTGTACAGCAATGGAAAAAGGTCTAGCCATAAGGATTATTCGTGATTTTATTTTATTACAAATTCGTGTTAGTAGTTTAACTCGATGCAAATATCAACTAGTTTTCATTGCACACATTTTTAATAACAAAATTCTCTCAATTGTTTTTCTGATTGACGCAGGATATTTTTTCTTATGATTTACCATTCTGTATATAAATGAATTGTGCTAAAGCAATTCAAAAGAAATTTTCTTTTTTTACACGTCGCATAAATTCGTAAAAAATTTTTTGAAGTAAAATTAATCGCATACGATAAGGTAATTTAAAGTATTATTCGAATAAAAACATAATAACGCTAGTTTACTAAAACAAATAAATATAAGTGAATATCTTTAG